ATGTTACCAGAGCATATGATTGTGTAGAACCAGTAGGTTCGTTGTCATGCCACCGTGACGTCATCACTTCGGTACTCTATTCCCGCTTTGTAGCGATGGCGTTTGAAATAAATAGGTTATGCTGCATTCCGACATGTTTTCTAAAACTTTACTCTAATATAGACGTTTTATCGGCAGGGTGGAGAGGAAATACCAATTTTGCATTAAAGACATTGTCAATGAAATCTTGTAAAACGAACCAGACGAGTGTGACACCACACTGTTTGTGTCTATATGATATGCTATATAATTGCCAAACCCTACCTAATTTGCATAAAAAAATTTAAATATCAAAACCCCTAGCCCTTATTCATTCACATACCAAAAATGAGCAAAATCCGTGGAACCTGAACTGACTAATGGCAATTCCCATTTTTGCCAAAAAATTGCCGTGGCTCGAAAGTAGGTCAACTGGCGTGCTTTAAAATAGGACGTTTAATATGGGAGCATAGCAGTAACAACTATACCCAATTTCAAACATGTGGGCCAAACGGTTCCTGAGTTATCGTTGACCGTAGCGAAATGTTAACGGACGGACGAACGGACGGACGGACGTACGCCGGACGACGACCCATGGCAATAGCTCAGCTTGACGATGTCAATGTGAGCTAAAAATTACTGGCCAAACTATTATAGCTATAGGAACCTAGGTAAATAACTCTACACCACAGGCAGTTGGAACGTTTCAATATTATAAAATGATGGTAAATAAACACGAAATATATTTACTACTAAAGCTACTTTTTCTCTACTCTCTTTTGCCTAGATTATTACTGATAATGCTGTTCGATCAAATGCTCCTCTGCAACACACAAATACATAATGTAATTGGGAGCAAGTACATGAGTAATGACACCACATTGCATTTTGGGTTCAAGCGTCACTGCGGCCAAGCTCCATTTCGAGTCCCGCCAAGCCAAGCTACCATAATTCACATGGAAATTATATAAGAGTGATATTTGTGCAATAAATTTTATTTAAATTTGAATTTGAACTTGAATGGGAATCACGTCATACACACGACCATGAGTAGCGTGTTAGTTAGTTGTGGATTAATTTTGTGCTGCGATTGTGTGAAACGAACGTCGAAACGAGTGTCAATGTCATGCGAATTTTGCGGTCATGCTTTCCCACCTGCTCTATAATCATTTTGTTGTTTGTGCACAGCGGAGTGCGTGCGGTATACTTCAAATTGTGGGTTGCAGAAGAGCATTTGAATGGCATTTACAGGAAATTATCAGTATTACTATTAATAATCGGTGAAAGCAAGTAGAGAAACATTAGATTAGGACTTTGGTAGTAAATACATTTCGTGTTTATTTACAAATTACAATCATCATGTTATTATTGAAACGTTCCAAGTGCGTACCGTACGCCGGTAGGCTACGGTACCGGGTAGGCCCCTACGGCTACGGTGTGCGCTCTACAGACTACACCAACTTGACCAACCAAGTCATCATGCACAGTAGGTATATTATAGAATAAACATAGACCGTACGTTTTGGTGTGGCCACGTCGTGGCACGTGCATTTTCATTTCAAACCTGCCCGAATTTTACGCCTACTTATTAAAAATATACCTAGAAGTATAAATTAATTACTTTTTACATCCCAAAATGCGTGGCTGTGTGATGTTCACAATTGCGATCACAGAAGAATTGGCGACATGGCGTTTCACAGCCCGCTGTGCCGTTCTAGTCACTCTGCAAGGAAGCCTTAACACCGACCGGAACATTGTTGCCTAGTTATTCCTTCGGCCAAGAGGCCAAAATTCACGACATAGACAAAATTCTTCACAAAATTTAGAAACTAGAGGTCACCGGTAAATAACAAATTTTCACTCTCCCACCAATGTGGCATAAATACGTCCGCCCTCACATACCAATATTCCGCTTAACAAAGTGTGTAGCTTTACGTTTCACATCGCGCTATCGCGTTTGTGTGTGTGTGTGTGTGTGTGTGTGTGTGTGTGTGTGTGTGTGTGTGTGTGTGTGTGTGTGTGTGTGTGTGTGTGTGTCGT